GGGGAGGTGTCACCCAGAGACACGGGGTGGTGTCACCAAGAGACGCGGGGTGGTGTCACCAAGAGACGCGGGGTGGTGTCAGCCAGAGACACGGGGTGGTGTCACCAAGAGACACGGGGTGGTGTCACCAAGAGACACGGGGTGGTGTCACCAAGAGACACGGGGTGGTGTCACCAAGAGACGCGGGGTGGTGTCAGCCAAGAGACGGAAGGTGGTGTCAGCCAAGAGACGGAAGGTGGTGTCAGCCGCCATCCATTGCTTCTGTTTATAACATTAATTCTCACCACCTGATAAAGAAAACGAGCACTGACACTCGTAGAAAATGGGCAAACCAAAACCGGAAGAAGATGGGAACTTCGGGGTTAACAATTATTTTGAATGTTATTATTCACATTGTGAGGGTGGGCGAGGTGCGGGGTAGGAGGCTGCGAGAGGCAGCGGGCGGGTACACTGTACACCCACACGGTGGAGGAGGAGGTGTTAGTACACCGTGTAAACGTTTGCGGTGTTGGGTGTTGGCGGGGTGGGTGTAGTATCGACCAGCGTGTGTGCGGAGGGGCCGTCGTCAGTGAGTCAGTGTGTGGTGCTCAGCTCGCAAGGCAGCCCGCACCAAACACCCTCCGCCACGCTGCCTCACACTCGCTCACCCTCCTCCTCTTCCTCTCCTTTCTCTCCTTCTTTCTCTTCTTCTTCTCCTCTCTCTTTTCTTTCCTCCTTCCCGTCTTCTCTCTTGCCGCTCTCCAAGTCCTATCAGCTCGTCCCCACTTCCTATTCGTTTACTTCGTCGACACCTGAGGCAGGATCTTCCTCCGTCAGGAGTTCGAGGCAGCCAACACCCGCGTGGTCGAGTGAGACATCTGCCTCTTCGGGTGACTCTCCAGGGCCTCTCCCTTCGCCTCTAACTGCCTCGCCCTTCACCGCTAACCCCCGTAAACTGAGTCCAGCGGAATCATCCCCGGACAAGCGCCCTCGGAGTGCCTCTATTCCCCAGTCGCCGTCAATCTGCGTGTCGTGGAGTGCTAGTGCCCCGGACTCCATCACGGAGCGCTTTCCGCGAAGTGTGTCACTCCCGGACTCCTCCCTGGAGGAGAACCTCTGGCGGGATTCGATCTTGGACTCGCCTTCGGGCCACGCCACCTCCTGGACTAGGCTCCTGCCGCGGTCACACTCGTCCCTGGCCTCGATCTCCGGGTCGCCGTCTTACGTGTCTTTGGACTCGAGTCCGCCCTCGTCGCCGCCGTCGTCGCCGCCGGGCCACCACGGAGTGTTCAACATGCCACGTCCCTTGGCCCAGAGTGCCCTCATGCGGCCGCTGGTGGCACTGGCACTTCCCGGCATGTACCTCGTCTACAAGTACAACCAGTACAAGCGCCAGCAGCAGGAGGCCAACCGACGCAAGGCCGCCGAGAGGGAACTGTCGCAGCTCAACCACAAGATTGTAAGTACCTGCTGCCTCCTAGATGGCACTGTGCCTATCCCTGTGGCTCTGTTCCTCACTCATGGGCACTGTGTCTGTCACTGAAGCCCTGTTTCTCACTTGGGGATATTATGTGTCACCTTGGGGTACCATGTCTCACACTAGGGCATTGTGTCTCACGCCTCTGGGGTACTGCGTCTCACCTCTGGGGTACTGCGTCTCACCTCTGAGGTACTGCGTCTCTTTCCAGAGTACCTTACTCACCTTGATATGTTAGCAAGGTCTAACATTAGCTCCTAGCACCGCCTTCCAAACATTCTAGTTCAATGCAATGACTCAATACTCATAATTTACATATAAATATGAGTATTGAGTTATTGTCAACAACTTCGTCCAACCCATTTCTCTTATTGATAGCTCTAACACTCAATAAGTTCTTATGACATGTCTGTGAACCATATGTCAACAGAACACATGATACACAGACCATGTGAACCACCTCCTCGTTCTGCTGTTACTAGTTTCAAAAACATTTTGGTCTGCTTAATTAAGATAACCTCAAGATACTTTGTAATTTCCGACAGAATCGTATATATATCCCTACCATGTCCCTCTATTCTCCTGCGTGGTGAGCTCTCACGCTCAGCCTTAGCAACGAGCCTTCTTTCATATCTCTGGAGTTGTTCTAGTTTTGTCTTGTACTCTTTTAGGTGGGGGTTCCATGCCGGAGCGACATACTTAAGAGCAAGTCACATATTGTACTAGGAGGGGTAACCGGCTGGGTCCGGGTCTTTTTCCCCCGCCCCTCTTTATCTTTCCCTTCTCTCAACTCTATTTTCGTATCCCCCTCTCTTCCCTTCCTCCCAGTATAACATTCATCACCCACCATCCTAACATTTAATATGCTTGATGAATCTTAATGAGGATGAATTTGTGTAGCGAGATTAGAAATTAGTTGAGTTTGTCATTTACTGCAAAGGCGGGACACGGGGCTCGACCTTGACAGACCTATGCACCGCCCGTAACCCAGACCATTCACCCCACAAAGTTTCACGAGGCTAGCCACAAGCGTCCGACTGTCTGCTTTGGACAATTCAGTTTCTTTATTATGCACCCCATACCCATGCCGTGGGCGGTGGTATAAAGGGTTACAGAGGCACATAATCGGTTCAGGAACTGAACCCTCTAGTTCGTTTAGCTAAGCAAATAAATTTTTTTGCCGCTAGTTACACAATTATTAATGTTATATATACATGTACACATACTCATACATACATGAACATTATATATATATATATATATATATATATATATATATATATATATATATATATATATATATATATATATATATATATATATATATATATATATATATATATATATATATATATATATATATATATATATATATATATATATATATATATATATATATATATATATGTCGTACCTAGTAGCCAGAACGCACTTCTCGGCCTACTATGCAAGGCCCGATTTGCCTAATAAGCCAAGTTTTCATGAATTAATTGTTTTTCGACTACCTAACCTACCTAACCTAACCTAACCTAACTTTTTCTGCTACCTAACCTAACCTAACCTATAAAGATAGGTTAGGTTAGGTTAGGTAGGGTTGGTTAGGTTCAGTCATATATCTACGTTAATTTTAACTCCAATAAAAAAAAATTGACCTCATACATAATGAAATGGGTAGCTTTATCAATTCATAAGAAAAAAATTTGAGAAAATATATTAATTCAGGAAAACTTGGCTTATTCGGCAAATTGGGCCTTGCATAGTAGGCTGAGGAGTGCGTTATATGTATATATATATACATATATATACATATATATATATATATATATATATATATATATATATATATATATATATATATATATATATATATATATATATATATATATATATATATATTTACACTGTGACGATAATCTCCTTCAAGAGATTGAGCCTGCTCTTCCCTCCAAAATTACGTCTTCACAATTATATAAAAAGACTATGGAAGAAATGTCCAACAACGACAACAACACCAGCACCAGCAAGGCTTGCCAGGGTGAGCAGAAACGTATGCAACCAGCCACCTGTTCGAACTCCAACCACCAAACTACCCGTTGATCGCTACGACTCCGCTGATTGGTCGCCGGTCTGGCTGCACCTGCACTCGCCCCAATACTACCTGATGTCTGGGGTCGCCCCAACATCAGTCCTCAGAATGTTCCGTGCTTTCGTAGCCAGCACTCCTCCCAGCTAGACGTTAGCGTGTACTGAGAGAGGTGGTGGCTTTAAGCCAATATTCCAGCACCTCCCACTTAACTTTTGTGTTGCACTTCTTATTTTGCCTTAACGTAACTTTCATTGTGTCATTTAAGTATTCTTATTATTTTGATTCATTGATTTTATTATACATATTTGTTTGTGCATTATTTTCATGTTTTGATTTATTTAACGTAATTAAAATTTCATTGTTAAAGTTTTACTTGTGTTTTGTGTGTCTTCTCCTTACCTTACCACAGACGAAGTTCCAGTTTTTCTATTTTTTTTTTATAACTATGTGACGAGGCCATACCCCTAGCCTTAAACAGCCGAACACCAACGCGTTACCGTCACAACACATATACATACACATACATATTTAATCACCTACACAAATGCACACATCAATAATATTTTGTATTACAAGTGATTCAACAAAAGGCTCACAACAGTCACTATACAAGGCACTTTACATCTATGGTGAGTCACACAGTTACTAGTCTTGCTCCACACCCACCCAACTGGGCGGCAGCTATAGTCATGTGCAGCATTACCTACAGTAAGCAAATTTTGGATACTTCGCTAAGATTCCTGGCAGTACATCATTATGACTGAAGTACTTACACATTTCTTGGACACTATTGATGGTGTTATCTCTAAATTCCGCGATTTTTTCACATTCCATTATATAATGACGCAAAGTATGCGAATAGTTCTGCTGACAGAGTTTACATTTAGTCAAATCTACATCAGCAGATGTTATACAAACTCCCAGAGGTACTTGTAGCCGAGCCTAAGCCTAGCAGTGGTAACATCTAGAAGTCTGCTAACATTATTGGATGACCCATAGACGTGCTTAATAGAATGATGATAGATGGAGTAACCGGTGTGAATTTCACTTTGCCTAAAGTCTCCGAAATTTAGTTGATGTTCCCGGAATATTGCTGCCCTCAGGCTGCTCAGAGGCAGTCCAAGTTGGTAATCAATTCCTACTTTACGAGCAAAAGTCTTGGCCAAGTCCTCAGGTCTATCATGCATACTTTGGACAAACAGACATTTTCCCTTACAGATATGTAAATAGGAATCGGAACACTTTTGTTTTGATTCTGAAGGCCACACGCACGTTGGTCAGTTTGGTGTATGTCGCTGACATTATCCGGCTAATAATTTCTGTTGTCCGAGACAGGAAGCCTGTGAATATACATACACCTCGATGCTTAAGGTTTGTATCAAGGCTCCCTATGGGAGGAACACTGACCTGCCCCAGGATGTAGCACAACAACTGTTCTCCAGCTCCTGGGGACCTGTTTCACGCTTGATGAACAGTGGCATTAAGCGAAAGGAAGCGTGTCCAACCATTTATGTCTGCTCCAGTGTCTGCTCCAGTGTCTGCTCCAGTGTCTGCTTCAGTGTCTGCTCCAGTGTCTGCTCCAGTGTCTGCTCCAGTGTCTGCTCCAGTGTCTGCTCCAGTGTCTGCTCCAGTGTCTGCTTCAGTGTCTGCTTCAGTGTCTGCTTCAGTGTCTGCTCCAGTGTCTGCTCTAGTGTCTGCTCCAGTGTCTGCTCCAGTGTCTGCTCCAGTGTCTGCTTCAGTGTCTGCTCCAGTGTCTGCTCCAGTGTCTGCTCCAGTGTCTGCTCCAGTGTCTGCTCCAGTGTCTGCTCCAGTGTCTGCTCCAGTGTCTGCTCCAGTGTCTGCTCCAGTGTCTGCTCCAGTGTCTGCTCCAGTGTCTGCTCCAGTGTCTGCTCCAGTGTCTGCTCCAGTGTCTGCTCCAGTGTCTGCTACAGTGTCTGCTCCAGTGTCTGCTCCAGTGTCTGCTCCAGTGTCTGCTACAGTGTCTGCTCCAGTGTCTGCTCCAGTGTCTGCTCCAGTGTCTGCTCCAGTGTCTGCTACAGTGTCTGCTCCAGTGTCTGCTTCAGTGTCTGCTCCAGTGTCTGCTCCAGTGTCTGCTACAGTGTCTGCTCTTGACCCTACACTGTGGTGCGGGTCTTCTCCCTGGGTGAAGGTCCAGGACCATTTTTACCGATGGCTTTCGAGTGATTTCGCATTTGCCGAGTAATGTAGTCTCCGCCTGTGATGATTCGTCTCATTAGTTTGCATCAACAACAAACATTGATTGAAACGAGCTAATTTCCTGTCATGTCGTTAGCATTTACAAGAACAGGATGGCCCCTAGCATCACTTCCTTTGGAACGCCACACAACTGGTGTGAGAAATGGTCCAGAAAATTTCTACTAAAGTTCAACTCGGGAAAGTGTAAAGTAATGCAATTAGACGAAGGGAGCAGGAGGCTGAACCCAAGGTACCATCTGGGAGGTGATATCCCGCAAGAGTCAAATAGAGAGAAAGATTTGGGGGTTGATATCACACCGAACCTGTCCCCAGAGGCCCACATCAAAAGAATATCATGAGCAGCATATGCTAGACTGGCCAATATAAGAACTACCTTTAGGAACTTGTGTAAGGAATCGTTCAGGACCCTGTATACCACTTATGTAAGACCAATCCTGGATTATGCAGCTCCAGCCTGGAGTCCATACCTAGTTAAACACAAGACAAAGTTAGAGAAGATTCAGAGATATGCCACCAGGCTCGTCCCAGAACTGAGCGGTAAGAGTTACGAGGAAAGGCTACGGGAACTAAAAGTCACGTCCCTGGAAGACAGAAGAGTTAGGGGAGACATGATCACCACCTACCATATTCTTAGAGGAATTAACAGGGTGGACAAAGACATATGATTTAGCATAGGTGGAACAAGTACAAGAGGACACAGGTGGAAACTTAGTACCCAAATGAGCCACAGAGACATTAGAACGAATTTTGTCAGTGTCAGAGTAGTTAACAAAAGGAATACATTAAGCAGTGATGTGGCGGAGGCTGACTCCATACACAGTTTCAACTGTAGATTTTATAGAGCTCAATAGGCTCAGGAACCTGCACACCAATTAACTGACAGATGAGAGGCGAGACCAAAGAGCCAGAGCTCAACCCCCGCAGGCACAGCTAGGTGAGTACAAGACGTCAGTATCTCCCCTCTCAACGCGACCTTTAGTTACCTTTGTGAGCAGTAGTCACTCACTCACACTTGAGCGTTAGTTGCGGCCTCCCAGCCCGCTCCTGCTGCCTGGGTCGGCGGCGTCACGGCCGCCACACACCATCAAATGTTGCCGACTCTTTATTTATACAACAGGAAAAGTTTGTCAAGCAAGGTGGACCCCGTGCCTGTGTTTGGTGAGAAAGTTAGCTGATGTAAGTGTTTTACAAGTCCACCCGGGGGCACTGTGCCTCACCCGGGGGCACTGTGCCTCACCCGGGGGGCACTGTGCCTCACCCGGGGGCACTGTGCCTCACCCGGGGGCACTGTGCCTCACCCGAGGGCACTGTGCCTCACCCGGGGGCACTGTGCCTCACCCGGGGGCACTGTGCCTCACCCGGGGGGCACTGTGCCTCACCCGGGGGGCACTGTGCCTCACCCGGGGGGCACTGTACTTACCTATAAGTACTGCCGTATCAGAGACTGCGGAGAAGAAGGGTCTACCTGGGTATGCCCCGCCTACTTACTGTGTTGTGCCCATGGAGTTAGTATTTAGGTATTTTGACATTGGAATTCGTTATTGAATGTGGCCATATAGTTGTGGGTGGAGGTGGCTCCTATAACTTCTCCTCTCAGTGTTGCTACTCTGTGACCTACAGGTTACCACTACTTCCCTACACTCCTGCGGCTCATGTGTGTTTACAGCATCCACTTATGTCCTCTCTTCATACTGCCTCTCATGTTAAAGAGGTTGTTCTTGTCTACCTTGATAATTACCATCAGTATATTTAATGTTGTGATCATGTCCCCTTCTGTTTCTTTTAGAAGATTGTGAGGTTTTTGTTCTTTTAAGTTATCCTCATAACTTGAGACGTCTTAGCTGTGGCGCTGATCATGTTGCAGACGCTTGTACACCTTCAAGGTGGCCTCTCATAACTTGAGCCGTCTTAGCTGTGGCGCTGATCATGTTGCAGACGCTTGTACACCTTCAAGGTGGCCTCTCATAACTTGAGCCGTCTTAGCTGTGGCGCTGATCATGTTGCAGACGCTTGTACACCTTCAAGGTGGCCTCTCATAACTTGAGCCGTCTTAGCTGTGGCGCTGATCTTGTTGCACACCCTTGTACACCTTCAAGGTGGCCTCTCATAACTTGAGCCGTCTTAGCTGTGGCGCTGATCTTGTTGCAGACGCTTGTACACCTTCAAGGTGGCCTCTCATAACTTGAGCCGTCTTAGCTGTGGCGCTGATCTTGTTGCAGACGCTTGTACACCTTCAAGGTGGCCTCTCATAACTTGAGCCGTCTTAGCTGTGGCGCTGATCTTGTTGCAGACGCTTGTACACCTTCAAGGTGGCCTCTCATAACTTGAGCCGTCTTAGCTGTGACGCTGATCATGTTGCAGACGCTTGTACACCTTCAAGGTGGCCTCTCATAACTTGAGCCGTCTTAGCTGTGGCGCTGATCTTGTTGCACACCCTTGTACACCTTCAAGGTGGCCTCTCATAACTTGAGCCGTCTTAGCTGTGGCGCTGATCATGTTGCAGACGCTTGTACACCTTCAAGGTGGCCTCTCATAACTTGAGCCGTCTTAGCTGTGGCGCTGATCATGTTGCAGACGCTTGTACACCTTCAAGGTGGCCTCTCATAACTTGAGCCGTCTTAGCTGTGGCGCTGATCATGTTGCAGACGCTTGTACACCTTCAAGGTGGCCTCTCATAACTTGAGCCGTCTTAGCTGTGGCGCTGATCATGTTGCAGACGCTTGTACACCTTCAAGGTGGCCTCTCATAACTTGAGCCGTCTTAGCTGTGGCGCTGATCTTGTTGCACACCCTTGTACACCTTCAAGGTGGCCTCTCATAACTTGAGCCGTCTTAGCTGTGGCGCTGATCTTGTTGCAGACGCTTGTACACCTTCAAGGTGGCCTCTCATAACTTGAGCCGTCTTAGCTGTGGCGCTGATCTTGTTGCAGACGCTTGTACACCTTCAAGGTGGCCTCTCATAACTTGAGCCGTCTTAGCTGTGGCGCTGATCTTGTTGCAGACGCTTGTACACCTTCAAGGTGGCCTCTCATAACTTGAGCCGTCTTAGCTGTGGCGCTGATCATGTTGCAGACGCTTGTACACCTTCAAGGTGGCCTCTCATAACTTGAGCCGTCTTAGCTGTGGCGCTGATCTTGTTGCACACCCTTGTACACCTTCAAGGAGGCCTCTCATAACTTGAGCCGTCTTAGCTGTGGCGCTGATCATGTTGCAGACGCTTGTACACCTTCAAGGTGGCCTCTCATAACTTGAGCCGTCTTAGCTGTGGCGCTGATCATGTTGCAGACGCTTGTACACCTTCAAGGTGGCCTCTCATAACTTGAGCCGTCTTAGCTGTGGCGCTGATCATGTTGCAGACGCTTGTACACCTTCAAGGTGGCCTCTCATAACTTGAGCCGTCTTAGCTGTGGCGCTGATCTTGTTGCACACCCTTGTACACCTTCAAGGTGGCCTCTCATAACTTGAGCCGTCTTAGCTGTGGCGCTGATCTTGTTGCAGACGCTTGTACACCTTCAAGGTGGCCTCTCATAACTTGAGCCGTCTTAGCTGTGGCGCTGATCATGTTGCAGACGCTTGTACACCTTCAAGGTGGCCTCTCATAACTTGAGCCGTCTTAGCTGTGGCGCTGATCTTGTTGCACACCCTTGTACACCTTCAAGGTGGCCTCTCATAACTTGAGCCGTCTTAGCTGTGGCGCTGATCTTGTTGCAGACGCTTGTACACCTTCAAGGTGGCCTCTCATAACTTGAGCCGTCTTAGCTGTGGCGCTGATCTTGTTGCAGACGCTTGTACACCTTCAAGGTGGCCTCTCATAACTTGAGCCGTCTTAGCTGTGGCGCTGATCATGTTGCAGACGCTTGTACACCTTCAAGGTGGCCTCTCATAACTTGAGCCGTCTTAGCTGTGGCGCTGATCTTGTTGCACACCCTTGTACACCTTCAAGGTGGCCTCTCATAACTTGAGCCGTCTTAGCTGTGGCGCTGATCATGTTGCAGACGCTTGTACACCTTCAAGGTGGCCTCTCATAACTTGAGCCGTCTTAGCTGTGGCGCTGATCATGTTGCAGACGCTTGTACACCTTCAAGGTGGCCTCTCATAACTTGAGCCGTCTTAGCTGTGGCGCTGATCATGTTGCAGACGCTTGTACACCTTCAAGGTGGCCTCTCATAACTTGAGCCGTCTTAGCTGTGGCGCTGATCTTGTTGCACACCCTTGTACACCTTCAAGGTGGCCTCTCATAACTTGAGCCGTCTTAGCTGTGGCGCTGATCTTGTTGCAGACGCTTGTACACCTTCAAGGTGGCCTCTCATAACTTGAGCCGTCTTAGCTGTGGCGCTGATCTTGTTGCAGACGCTTGTACACCTTCAAGGTGGCCTCTCATAACTTGAGCCGTCTTAGCTGTGGCGCTGATCTTGTTGCAGACGCTTGTACACCTTCAAGGTGGCCTCTCATAACTTGAGCCGTCTTAGCTATGGCGCTGATCATGTTGCAGACGCTTGTACACCTTCAAGGTGGCCTCTCATAACTTGAGCCGTCTTAGCTGTGGCGCTGATCTTGTTGCACACCCTTGTACACCTTCAAGGTGGCCTCTCATAACTTGAGCCGTCTTAGCTGTGGCGCTGATCATGTTGCAGACGCTTGTACACCTTCAAGGTGGCCTCTCATAACTTGAGCCGTCTTAGCTGTGACGCTGATCATGTTGCAGACGCTTGTACACCTTCAAGGTGGCCTCTCATAACTTGAGCCGTCTTAGCTGTGGCGCTGATCATGTTGCAGACGCTTGTACACCTTCAAGGTGGCCTCTCATAACTTGAGCCGTCTTAGCTGTGGCGCTGATCTTGTTGCACACCCTTGTACACCTTCAAGGTGGCCTCTCATAACTTGAGCCGTCTTAGCTGTGGCGCTGATCTTGTTGCAGACGCT